ATTACGAATTTGAATTAAATATGATATGAAATTTGTAGACAGCGATAAATGAAAACCAACAAATAAGAGAAGAAATTCTCAAATATCAATTTTTTATAAAATGGAAGAGAACAAACTTACTTTGTATACTCGCACCAGAGTTGTAGTGCTTGGAATCTTAATCTGCGTACTCCCCTGCCTTCTATTAATTTCTCTACAGAAAACAAAAATAAAAGAGAGAGAAAAACTTTTAGTTTCTTTTATTCTTCTGTTTTTTTTTTCTTTTATCCTTGTGATTGATTAAAAAAATATACTAAATTTTCTTCTCGATGACCCCAAAACAGTGCTTCAAAATTTCTTCTCGATGAGGCAATGTGATCAATTAACAATAATGAAATCAGGCATGGTTAAAAATTTTGTAAACATAAAGATCATAAAATTTAGGAAAATTAAACACAATATAAACAAGTTGCAAACAATATAGATCATATCTTAGCTAATTTTTTTATATTTAAAAATCATTTTCTCAAAGATAAATTTGTTTAATCTTTTTTAAAGAAAAAATGAATTCCTTTTTAATCAGTTACATCACATGCATATATCAAATTTTAGTAATATGAAAAACTATTTTACTCGACCGTTTGGCAAATTGCATGGTAAAAATCAGCAGACGTCCTTCTAAAATATTTGTCGTAACATATTTCTATAATTTCATCGTCAATCTTCTCATCTCTTCCTGCAAAATAAATGACAAAAGCATTAGAAAGGATAAAGATGCAATATAGCAGTTTCACTTGTAAAAATCTCTCCACGCTTAACTAAAAATTACGAGTTGAATTTTAAAATGAAAAACTTCTTGGCAGGGAGTGTTTTACCCCCCTTAATAGGCCTACCCAATGTGTATCCAGATTAGCCCGGCTCAATGTACTCCGTATATCAGACGGTTAAACAACAATAACTCACAAAAATCCCCTTATGATCACTCTACATAACATGAGAAACAATACAGAAGTTGAAAATATATGACTGATGTTTGAAAAGCGGCTTATACACACCCTGAAAACTTTGACCAATTTTTGAGATGGCTTGGCCCATAAATTGGAGAGCTCCTTGACCAATTTTCTTTAAGGTTCCCATAATTTGGAGATTAAGAAAAAATAAGGTGACAATGGTGGAGGGAGGAAGAGCTTTATATTTTATATTATATACTTTAAAAGAAATTTAAATGAGGCTTGGAAGGTAGGAAGAGTATATTATATTCCTTGAGGTATGGACAAAACTTTTTATGAAGTTTTCTAAATAGCTTTGAAAATGGGGAGAATCTTACTTGTATATTGTGTAAACGCCAAAAAGACAAGTGCATATGCCACATATTAAGCAGGGGCCTTGTTCGACGAGTAAATTGCCCAAGTGAGATGATGAGAATTGCAAAAGGAACAAAGAAATTTCAAGCAAAAATGAGTGAGAAAAAAGGTTTGGTTAATAGCATATATTTAAACTTCAATTAGTAGAATTGTGTATTTTTGGTCACACAACCTACAATCATAACTTGCCTTTTATGCAAAGAAAACCATTTTCATACTTTATAATTCTAATAAGAACGAACATAATATCTTGCAGTACCAACTATACTAGATTCTAGTTCTCTATAGATATAAATGCCAAGTTTTACATATCATTTAATATTCCAATTTGCAAAGATGCATTGCCATTGAGATATCTCAGGATAGAGAAGCGGAAGCAGATTCCAATACGCTGAATGCTCTGTAAATTTGTAGACCCAACAAGAATTTCAATTAACATTAATATCAGAATACCCACAGTTAAGTAATAAATTGAGGTGAAAATATATATTAATTAACTCTCATTTAGCGATAACAGTAGTAAATACTTACCCAAGTATTTACACCAAACTAAGCAATTTATCTTATGCTGTTTAAAACTAAAGTAAGAATAAATATCATTAACTATAATTAAATGACAAATGTGTATATGATAGCTGCATATTATGCATCCATTAATTTAGTATAAACACCAAGTGCAATAAATTTTACACTAGGTGAAATCACATGTTATTTATCCATTGACTTGTGTTTACACTAAACACCAGATGCAGAGATTAACTTTTTCTGCGCTTAATAACACAAGAAGCGGGGTACTGAAGACTGACAAATGGCATTTAAACGATAAAGCTACACTAAACCAATATCGCAAATTTGTAGATTAGGTGAATCAAAGGCGAGTAAATTATATATGCATCTATTAGTCAAATAAAGTCAGAATGAAACTGTTAACCCAAATACAGATCCACCATGAAAAGTTGCTATTTCTTCATCTTGGCAATGGGAAAAATGGCATTGACTCAGTAAAGAAACAGCAATCAAGATAGCATCCATGGTCTACCAAAACCTACACAAATTACAACATTCAGAGAAAATTCATAAACAAGTCGTGAAAGGCCAGTTACATAATTAAAACTGCCAGGATATCACTCGTAAGCACGATGCTAAGCTCCCTCTCCCAGCGTCCTCTTGGATGTGCTGATGTAAAGCACTGCATGCAGAAAAACTCTCAATATTACCTTCGAATCATTAGAGGCACAGGTAAACTAGTGCAGAGTTAGATAACGAGTTTTTTGCTTACCATTATTTCCCCGTATGAAGGCATCACCATATTTGTTCTTCAATTGCCCATTTACATATTCTTCTGTTTGTTCCATTGCTATATTCATGTATCCATCTAAGCAGGCTAGGATACCTACACCATACAATAACTATTAGCATTTACTTGAGTTTGAGTTTTCCTCCAACATATTGAAAGATGAACATTACCAGCTGAAGGTCTTCAGCAATTTGCAATGATATTTAACTTACGCCAGCAGTAAGGTTTTTAGCTAGATTGCATGTGAAGACCTCACTCTAACAAAGCTTCCGCCTTACCACGTAACTATGCAGGTTGAAAGAAAAAGTTAACTCTGCCTGCGTGAGCTTCCTCATATTACCGGTCCCAACCCCGAGTAAAGGAGGTGGTTTGCGGTAGGCTGATAGCCATCGTAAAGCTAGTCAGTGTTATGATGAATTAGAGAACTTCCAGTACATTTTATTTCGTATAATAATGGTCTACGATGAGCTTAAACAGAGTGACATTGTCAGTGAGGATACATATATCCGACCCGCACTTGCTTTGAGATTGATGCGTAGTCATTATTTTTGTTGTTTTGGAGTCATCAAGTGCAGATATTAAAGGAGTAGTGGCGTATATAAATGAATTGGATAAGCCTTGCAGCATGTGGTGTATGTAATGTAAGACTTGGCTCCTCTCCCGTTAGCTATGTTGCTCGGTCTCTTCAAAAATGTCATCAGGTGCGTGTCGCATCCCCCAAAAGTAATGCATTTTTGAAGGATCCGATACGGGTGCGACAACAATTTTGGAGAGTGCGAGCAACATAGCCTGTTAGTACCGATTTAAGTTCCTCCGGTTCTATATTAAGTTTTTGACACATCCCATATGAAATTCAATGGATCAGGTTTATTGTATTAACTCAAACTTCATAACCATGGTCAACAGTCTTTCACATTCCCTCTCTCTGATTCACTGTCAGACTCGAATTTATATCCTTTTTCTTCCAAATCTATCAATATATAACTGAAGTAGCTCAATCAGTTAGAGCATTCTTCCCCTCACCCTACAAACCATTCTTCACCCTCAGGAAACCTAATATTGTCTAGTCTTTTCCATAAACAAAGGGACCTCAAAATTAGTACTCACAGAACTTTATGGTTGACTCTCATTAAAGTATTCTTCAAACTTCAGTCTCCATTTGGGTCATGTGTTACGATTTTTTCACTGATGTCGTAAACATAAAACTTAGTTAGCCCACCCATTTTGACGTGTCATATTGTTTGGATTCAGCTCCTCTCCAGCGAGCATCCTTTCTTGCTCATCCAATTCTAGTTTAAATTTTTAAATTTTTGACACATGATCCTTTAACAATTCAATAATCTGATTTATTTTACTAACCAATATATTTTAACCATAGTTAAAACATAACCTTCTTTCCTATCATTCCGCCAAAATATAGTATAAGTCATTGGCGGAATGATAGGAAAAATTATTTTTTAACTGTGGCTAAAGTATAAACAACAACAACGACCCATTAAAATCCCACTAATGGGGTCTGTGGAGGTTAGTGTATACGCAAACCTTACCCCTACCCCGAGGAGTAGAGAGGTTGTTTCCGAAAGGCACTCGGCTCAAGAAGACGAAAAGAAAAGAAAAGAAAAGAGACAATATAAGTACCATCAACATATACCATAAGAAAAAAGTAACAACATCATGAAAGCCAGAAAATAGGTGCAGAGCAAAAGCGGTAACCATTAAATAGAGTCGGCTCTATGAAAAACGAAAGAGTAGTAAGACACAACATTGCCACTAGCTGTCTCAGACAAAAACCCTACCAAGCTAGCCTCACAAATGTACGAACTAAGGAAAAACTCAACTACCTCCTAACCTACAACCCTAATACTCGACCTCCACAGCTCCTTATCAAGGGCCATATCCTCGAAAATCTGAAGCCTCGCCATGTCCTGGCTAAAGTACACTAATTAGTAAAATAAATCAAATTCATTGAATTGTTAAAGGAACACAAGTCAAAAATTTCAAGTGGAACGGGACGAGCAGGAGAAGATGCTCACACGAGAATAGCTGAATCCATAAATGTGATGGCTCAGAAGGATTCTAGCTGAAAATTTCCCTCTAAAATACACTACATCAAGAATATATTGCAGAGAAGGAGACCAATACAAAGTAACAATGCAATGAAGCATTCATAAGAACCAAGAAAGGACAGAGAAGTTCATATAAAGGTTTCTCTCAACATAACATTTTATTCAGGAACCCATTGGCAAATATACAAAACAACTAATAAAAGCAATCATTCATATAGGAGATCCAGAGAACAATAAAGTATATTAACCAGTTACACAACAACAACAACAACCCAATATAATCTCACTAGTGGGGTTTGGGGAGGGTAGTGTGTACGCAAACCTTACCCCTACCCTGGGGTAGAGAGGTTATTTCCGATAGACCCCCGGCTCCCTCCCTCCAAGAACTCCCCACCCTGCTCTTGGGATGACTCGAACTCACAACCTCTTGGTTGGAAGTGGAGGGTGCCCACCACTAGAACAACTCACTCTTGTCTATACACAGTGCACACAAACTTTGCATACAGTATTTCCAACTTTTGCATATGGTTAAATCTCTCAGAATGAATGTTCAGTATGTTAATTGCATCAAATGATTACTAACTTCAGGGCAAAAGGCTTAGTTTCTCTCCCAGAATGCATGTTACGGATGCTTACCACCAAGACCAATTTTTCACAAAGTATTAGTACAATTTTTATTACAGAACTTTTTTTTGGCAAGTAAAGATTTTATTATATTTTATTACAGAGCAACTCTTACTTTACAACCCATCAGTTTAGATATTTATTACACGGGTAAATTGGGATGAGCGCTAGTTTGATCTATAGACCATTAATAGTCAATGCAAATGGTTGTCATTGTTTGCTTAATAAGGAAAATGATGGTCATCTACATCACATGGACTAACAAATATTTGAAATGTGATGATCAGAAAATAAATATCTGTAACGTGAGAATACTCAACTTTTCACTCTATTAGAACCTTATTGCTGTGTCGAAGCTTTAGTATCTCAAGGAACATTTCATCTACTCTTGTTACTATTTATTAGAGGTCCAAATACAAATCCTGAGGTGAGTAAAGGGCAACTACCACTACATTTGTTACTAGTATACGCGACACTACGGTTTAGTCATGTTGTTGAGTACAAAACTATAAATAGTTACAATGTATAAGCAAGAGAACAGTAAGTTCAAAAGAAATATAAGAAACAGAAGGAACCAGAGTTACTAACCTCGATAGTCAACACCTGAGTTCAATTTAACAACAACAGGTCGTCCACGAATAGACTTGAGAAAATCTGCTGGAGTCTTGGTGGTTGCTGATCCTTTCTCTCCTGTTCCACTCATTTTCGATTCCTCACTCTGTAGCATCTCAAAAGCAGTAAATTATCAGGATACAACTTACAAAACCAGTATAAATCATAAAATCAATACTATCAGAGTAAGTTACAGTATCATTTGACATAAGAGAGTTAACAGTGTATGCATTGGTAAAGAAAATTGAAGTATCAGAATGTAGCCACCACCTACCATCAGGTTTTTCCCCTAGAAGTATTTTAAACTGAAAGTCACATTTTCTGAAATAGAGAAGGACTCAAAACTGAAATCTGATTGTAACATTCAAATGGTTTTCTGAGTCTCCAACTACAATTGATTTTGCAATTTCTAGGAGTCCTAATTCAACTTTTAAGATTATTGTATTTCAAACTTTGTTTGATAGGCCTGTCATCGAGTAAATAAATCGGCTTCTAGCACATTACCGGACAAGACATCCTTTTCAACTGGGTGGGATCAGCGTCAGGAAGATGTCAAGCATTTCGTAGTTCAAGTCTACCCTCACAAAAGTTTTAAAAAATTGCATGCAAGGTGTGGTGAGTATCCATTCAGTAATAGACCATAAACCGATTTACTGGCTACGTCCTCGGAAGACCTATCTTCCATTCTCCACAGTACACGCAGAGTTGTTTAACTTTCGCAAGAAGGGATCAGAACCCTGGACTCTACGATTTTTTCCTGTAGCATCACTAGCGGGGACCCCTGCAAGCTCAGCCATCACAGAGCAAAGTCCCTCACGCGCATCAGAAAATTTAGGAGACTCTTTTGGTTTTTAAAATTTTCTGATCCAAGGCATATAATATATATGAATCAACTACAAATACCATAGCAAAGGATAAAACTTGCACGAGCTTGCATTTTTTGATATACATCTCGCTAAGAGGCAAGTCTAGAGCACACTAAACGAATTAAGAAGGAAGCACTAAATAAATCTTACTGGGCTTTAAGAGATTCCCGAGGAACTTTACAACTATTCTAGTAGATCATAAGGTATAAAAAGAGCCTCCTTTTTTTTTCTGCAAACTCTAAATGAGTTCCACTACTCATTACAAAAGAAACAAAAAAGCTCTTTATATAAATAGAGGCTCCAGACCTCACACGACTTTTACAAACTAAAGTTAACTAGAACTCTAGAAGACAACAAATAGATATTACCTTCTAATGAATAGCTCGAAGATGGCTTAAATTGATACGTACCCTATCTTAGAGGTGGACACTGCGCAATACAAAGACGTACAGTCACCACGTTTTGACTTTTCTGGTCGATAACCACTAAAAATCAACATTGCAGGGAGATGAATCATAAGAAAGGCATTGCATGAGATCCTAACCTTAGGTATAATAAGGCTCAAACTAGCTAAAATATTCCAGGACATACTTATGTGACTACATCCACCTAAAACCAGAGCACAGACGAAATGATAATCCTCCAGAAAGAACAATAAAAAAAATCCCCCGGAATGACTTTCAACTTAACTGAAGATTGTACAGGTAAGAAATGTTGTTTGCCATCAACAAAATGTGCTCATTCCCACAACACCCTTAACGTACTGCTGAATTGCACACTTGCAGTACAAGACAAAACCCACTAAAACAATGGCAGTTCCATAGATAAATGTCTTCATAATTGGTTGTGGGGTTTATTCAACTCATGTCTCTTTAAGTTAAATTTATTGTTTCCCATAAATCACAAATCTAATACCTTTAACCAAGGCTTTTCATCAAATTGATCAAAAATTTGTTTCTTTTAACTGAGAAAATTTGCTAGCATTACAAAGCGGGATCAAAATTAGTACTTTTTGAATTGTCAAGCTCCAAGATCAGAAATTTAGTATAAAAATTGATTTTTTTGTATCAAAGTTAGTACTTTTCGAATTGTCAAGCTCCAAGGTCAAAATTTAGCATAAAATTGATTCTTTTTTTTTTTTGATAACCGTGGTGTCCGGGCCAGCTTGCGCGCACCTCGACTAATTCCACGGGATACCTGCCACCTCCCACCAGCAAAAGATACCAGATAACTCTATCCACCAAGGCTTGGATAGATGGGAAGAAATCACCTAGCATAAAATTGATTCTTTTTTTTTTTTGATAACCGTGGTGTCCGGGCCAGCTTGCGCGCACCTCGACTAATTCCACGGGATACCTGCCACCTCCCACCAGCAAAAGATACCAGATAACTCTATCCACCAAGGCTTGGATAGATGGGAAGAAATCACCTAGCATAAAATTGATTCTTACCCTAAGATTGGTCAACTTCCTTCAATACAATCAGCTCCAGGTAGAAAAAATAAAACAAAAAAGGAGTAAAACATGAGCAATTAACCCTTCAGTTCTGGAAAATAACAAATTCTAAAAATTAGCAAAGCTTCTTTATTTTTTTTTTTGAATTGTTGTGGTTTGTCTTAAGTAAAAGATGCTGGACATGAATCCCAAATCACAATTACATAATGCAATATGGATTTTGTATTTCTTGGAGCATATTGTAGCGATAGAAAGACAACAATTTCAAAACAAAAAACGCAGTAATTGGGCAAAGTAAGAGAAAAGAAACAAAAAGTTCAATAGTGTACCTCAACGACTGATTCTTCAGCAAGGAAGAAAAGTACAGAACAGAGAAACTTTGAAGAGCGGAGGGAATTTGTGCGAAGCTAGGGTTTTGAGTTCTTTGTTTACAAGTTTTGAACTCGTGTATATGAGGGGTTCTTATTGAAGACTCTTTATACAGTCCAATAGGATGTGGAAATTGCAGAGTTCACCCTAAAGTTTTGTTATTGTTGTAAACTGTGAATTAATGTGACAAATATTTGAATGCATTCCTAAACCCGTCAAAAAACAATTACTACAATCCATCCCAAGTTAATTTGAATTCGGTTGTATACATTTTCAAAATCTTAATATTTTGGGATCATAATATTTCAATATAGTTCTCTCGTTTAAAAAAAAAGAAGCAAACAAATGGTCCAAGCCTCCCACTTATTGATAAATAACTTGGTATAAACTGACTCGTTAGAGTCAAACTAAATATTTCCTTTCAAAAAGACCTATGTTCTAAAAGAAATTAAAAAGTGCATGCAACTACCTATTTATGCATCTTTGTTTGTGTTCTAAAATATTATCCCATAATAGGTAATAGTTATTCGAACAATATATATCATACCAATAAAAGTAAGGCATGTGTCTTTTATATACTCATTTATTACTTAATCATGGTAAAATGATATGTGTTCTCATTTTAATTTTTAACTGTTAGAATTAAATTGACTGATTTGGTATTAAATGTCCAACGTGATTACGCATTTACTCTCGTAATAGAACCTGCATGCTTTGATTGAGCAAAATCGTTGCAGGGGTATTCTATTGGAAACTTTACATAACTGTCACAATCTAAAAGAAATATAACAAATTCGTAGCATGAAATTCAATATTATAGATGTGGCAGGAAAATGTTTATATTTGTAGCACACAGTTCCAATAAAATAGGAATATTAATTATTAATCTCTAAACATAAGCAATTTGAATGGAAAGTCAATAATTCTTTGTACAAAAATTATATTTTTTTTCTCTCTTTATCTATTAGCTTTTCTTCTTTTTCTTCATCTTCTTAGCTTTATTTTCTGCCGAAACCAATATATTTCTACATTTGTTCCATTCGTTTTCTTTTTAATTATTTTTTTAAGTTTCTCTTTTCCTTCTTTCTTCCTTTATTAACATAAAGATCTTACTTCGATAATAATATACGTTAATATATACAAAACGTATATAAAAAAATATATATTGAATTAACACATATAAAATATACAAAACATATACATAAAAAATACATCTTCAATTAAGATGACACTTGGACATGTGAAATATACATAAAAAATATATCTTAAATTTAATTAAGATGGCATATAAATGTACAAAAAATATATTAAAAAAATACATCCTTAATTAAAATGGCACTTGACATATAAAATATATTTAAAATATACATTAAAAATACATCTTAAAATAAGATGGCACTTCACAAATAAATATACAAAAATTATATACATAAAAATACATTTTGAATTAAAGTGATACTTGATATATAAAGTATAAAAGATGTATAAATCAATACATCTTGAATTTAGGTGGCATTCATATATGCATCAGATTTTTAAAAATGTAGTGAAGAAGATGAATGTTGGGCTTAATTTTTGTAATATGCTAATAATGAAAAAAAAGTACTCTTTATGGAATAATCAATAAATGATACTATTTTTTAAATAATAGTTAAAAAAGGATCAAGTGTGTAAAAAACTCTATTCTATTTAAGTTTGTATACGCAAAAGAAAATGGAGAGTGAATTTGACAAATGGTCATTCAAGTAATGCTTTGTAACACAAAAATTACTTTTTTTAAGCACAAAAATTATCTTTCTAAACCCTACTTAACATAAATATTAAAGTCACGAAAAATGCTATTTTAACCTGAAAGTGACGTGGCTATCTTATTTTACTTAATAAAAAGAGTTAATTTCATAAATCTCCCTCCAGGTTTTGCCTCGTAACATTAGCTTTCCTTGTGATTAACGATATTATGCTTACTTTACCTATTTTAAATTTTTTGTAATAATTGTCTTCACTTATTAACAAAAGTATAAAAATTATAATTTAACTAATTTACTCTCATTAATATACTCTTAGTTAAGTTAATTTTATTAACATTTTTAAACTCCTAACTAAAGATAACCAGAAAGTAAAAGGCAAAAATATCAAGAATTGAACACGGAGAAGAAGCGGATAGAAAACAAGAAAAAAATCTAGATCGAGAGAGAAAAAAGGCGAATCAAAATAGCAAAAAACAAATGAAAAAAGGAAAACATCCAATATCTGAAGTATATGAGTTAAAATTGAAGCAAAGAGCCTTTTAGGAGAACTCGGGATTTACCGAATAATCATGATTTAAATGATGACTATGATGTTGATTAGGATAAATATCCGTCTTCAAATGATACTTAATCACGTTATTACTTCAATTCCAAACTAAAAAATCAGTGAAGAGGAATTCATGACTGAGATAGCAAGTTTAGAAGATAATTCTTATACCGTTCAGTAACTGGATAGATACACTTTCGATATGCCTGTGTCGTTGATCGAGAAAGAATTATTGTGGAATGTGATTATGAAAGATATTTTTTTAATAAAAATATGTTTACAAAATTAATTAAACAAAAATATATATTAGTAAAAGTAAATTAGTCAAGTTAGAAGTTTTAAATAAATATGTTAAGACAATGGTTACAAAACTAAGGGGTAAGGTAAGCGTAATATTGTAAACCACAAAAGAAATTAGTGTTACCAGAAAACCTAGAGGGAGGTCTGTGAAATTAACCTTTTTTATTAAGCAAATTAAGATAGCCATGTTACTTTTTCAGTGAAAAAATGACATATTTCATTCACTTTTATATTTGTATTAACCAGGCTTTAGAAAGATAATTTTTGCTGTACAAAAAAATAACTTTTACGTTATAAAGTTTAACTTAAATGACTATCGGTGAAATATAGATGTGGCACTGGCACATCCAAAAATATAAGTGAAATACTAGTGATAATCTATCTATCTATCTATATTATTATAAAAGCATGAATACAATGTCGGTTTACAAAAATAATCTTATAATATTAAACATAATAACTCATAATAAAAGGATACAAGCGGAATTCTATATATTAGCCTTATAATTCTATTAGTTTTAAGATATAATACTAGTTGTTAGGAATCCTACATGATTACCTTTAGGAATCTTATTGTAACGACTCGGCTGGTCGTTTTGAATATTATAACCTTGTTCCCCCATTTACTGCTCAAATTATGTCTTCCAATTGATTTATGGGTTATCGGGTTAGTTGGTTTGGGTCCGGAAGGAATTCCAAATGAAATAAGACACTTAGTCTCATAATTGAAAATTTAAGTTAGAAAAATAGACCGGATATGGAACTATATGTAAACGATCTCGGATTTGAATTTTGATGATTCCAATAGCTACGTATGGTGATTTTGGGTTTAGGAGCATATCCGGAATATTATTTGGAGGTCCATAGTGGAATTAGGCTTGAAATGCCGAAAGTTGAATTTTTGGGAAGTTTGACCGGGGGTTGACTTTTTGATATTGGGGTCAAAATCTGATTCTGAATATTGAAATACCTCTATTATGTCATTTATGACTTGTATGCAAAATTTGAGGTCAATCGGACGTGATTTGATAGGTTCCCGAGTCGTTTGTAGAAATTAGAAATTTCAAAGTTCATTAGGCTTGAATTAGGGTGTAATTCATGATTTTAGCATTGTTTTGAGGTGATTTGAGGGTTCGACTAAGTCTGTATGATGTTTTAGGATTTGTTGGTATATTTGGTCGAGGTCCCGAGGGGCTCGGGTGAGTTTTGGATGGTTAACGGATCAAAACTTTGGACTTGAATACCTGCTGGAATTTTCTGATATCTGATGATGTTTTCCTTCTACGCGATCACGTGAATGCGTCTGCGATCGCGTGAATGCGCCTGCGATCGCGTAGGCTTATTTGGTCAGTGAGGGTTTTTGTTCTACGCGATCGCGTGAGGATATCTAAGATCGCGTAGGGTTAATGTGAGGCAGTGGCATTTTGTGCTTCGCGATCGCGTGGACTAGTCCGCGATCGCGTATGTCTGTGATGTTGTGCATCGCGATCGCGTGGGAAAGTCCGCGATCGCGTAGAGTAAAATCTGGGCGATGAAAAATTGTTCTTTGCGATCGCGTGGGAATATTCGCGATCGTGTAGAGCAAATGTCTGGGCAGAGAGTTTAAGTTCTAAAAATGGGACTTCGTGCCATTTTCAGTTTTTGACGATTTGGAGCTCGGATTTGAGGCGATTTTGGGTGATTTTCAGAGAAAACAACGAGGTAAGTGTTCTTAACTCAATATTAGTTAAATTACCCGAATCAATGATTGTTTTTATCATTTAATTGGTGAATTGAGTTGGAAAATTTTGAAAACTCTCCTAGTTTAAATTGAAGATTTGAGGGTCGAGTTGAGGTCGGATTTTGATAAAATTGGTATGGTTAGACTCGTGGTTGAATGAGCTTCCAGATTTTGTAACTTTTATCGAGTTCCGAGACATGGGCCCCACGAGCGATTTTTGAGCTAATTTTCAGATTTTTATGGAAAATTACTATTTTCTTATGGAATTAATTCCAATAAATTTTATTGACTGAAACGAATTATTTATGACCAGATTCGAGGCGTTTGGAGATGAATTCACGAGGAAAGGAAATTGCGGAATAAGAATTTCACGACTTGAGGTAAGTAACAGTTTTAAATCTGGTCCTGAGGGTATTAAACCCCAGATTTTGGTATCATGTGATTATTTTGGAGGTGACGCACATGCTAGGTGACGGGCGTGTGGGCGTGCGCTGAGGGGATTGTGACTTGGTCTGTCCCTGAAAACCGTAAAGTTGAATAATTTGTTGTTAGCTATATGCTCTCTATGTGTTGATAAAATTTGACTGTAAATCATGTTAGAAATCATGCTTAGGCTATGTGATAGTATCGTTGGGACCTGTAGAGGTCGTGTACTTGTTGAATTGCTTGCTAAATGCTATATTTGCTCAGTCTCAATTTTTACTTGTACATTTTATCTCACTCTCTGTTATTATTATTGATACATCATATCATTATTGTTGGGCTGATTTC